CACTCCTTTGATAGCAGACAAACCTCAGCGCAGTCGTCACAGGTACACAAACTCACAGATCACAGATCTGATGTTGCCATCCTGTGTGTTTAAAATCAGCAAACTGTGATTGCTGTCAGGAAACGTGTCGCCCGTCGCTGGCGTGTAGCAGCAGATTGCTGATCTCCGGCAGCGTGGGCGGAGCTTTGCACAAGAAAAGCACAGCTTCTGACGACATCACCAGAAAGAGAATGAAACCGTGTGGTTAGCTCACCTGCATGTGTGCGTTTGCAGCCCCACAAACACCACGAGTGTGTGCGTGACTCGTGCTGAATGAAGCGACGGCTGAGTTTATTTGGTGCCTTGCAGGTAAAACGTGTCTGTTGTGTCTTCGCAGGAACTCAGAGCTTCTACCTGGAGCACACGGACGACATCCTGTGTCTGACCGTCAACCAGCACCCCAAATTCAAAAACATCATCGCCACCGGGCAGATCGGTACGCTTCGGTGTTTGTGTGTGTGGCGTGTCGCTGTCGGTGCATGGCCGTGTTCTCCTCCACTAACTGTACTAAAGAGACGTCCCGCTTTCTCTCCCTGCTTCCTGTTTAACCCGCCTGCTTTGCTTTTATACTGACCGACTCACCGACAGGGAGCGAGCGTGAGGCGGCACATGGCGACAGTTTCCCCTCGAGGTCTGCGTTTGAAATACAGGAAGTGGGGTTAATTCAGCCAATCAGGAAACACAAGCAGAGCTTCACAGAGTTTGTTGTTTTGAACCGTAGAGCAGCCGAGGCGATCCGCAGTCAGGAACGTCGAAGCTCGGCGCAGACGCAGGATGAATGAAACGTTTTTTCTGCCTGGCTGTGACTCACTGCAGGTTTTCATGTTGTTGTCTTTGTGTGTGTTTTTGGCCGGCCTCATTTGTCGCTCTCACAACACCTCAGGTGACGGCGGTGAACTCCCAGGTAAACTACAAACGACCCGCACGCCTCCATCACAGCAAACTGAAACCCAGACGCGTCTGTTTGGTTTTTACGTCTCATAAAAACAATTTAAACAAAATATTTTTGCATTTTTAATCGTTTTTTCCAACAAAATTGTAACATTTATAAAAAAGTCATATTTTTCTGATAAATGTTCAGAAATTAAATATTTAAAATATATTCATGTTATACAAAAATTCTGTTTTTTTAATCGAAAATTTTAAAAACTCTTTTTCCAGCATCAACATGAACACAGTTTTCATATTGTCTCATGTTCTTAATCATTGTTTTTTGCATTTAAATAAACATTTGTTGGTAACTTTGTATCAACACACAGGATAGTTTCACCACATTAATGATTGCAGTGACTCATTTCTGACGAGCTGATGATCGCTCAATAAGATGTTTCTGCTGCATGTTCGACGTCTCAAACTGAACTCATTCGATTTGTTTAACGAGTAGTTAAAGTACTCGAGTACCAAACGCAAACTCTTGTAGCGTGGCGGTGGAACGGCGTCTGGTTTTCAGGGTGTCTGTCGGCTGCACCGACCCCTCTGTGTCGCTGTCGCAGTTTCTCCCTCTGTG